AATAAGAAACATAAGCCTACACTAATATCCGGAAGTCCCGCAATACCGTATACCAAGTATATACAACGACCCCCATTGTCATGTGAGAGTCTTTTCAAGCTTCAAACCAATATGAATATGAAAACAATATGATATAACTTCCCCCTCGTATCCCCTGAGTGTCCCCCCTCTACGAGAACGAGAGAGAAGAAGAAGAAGAAAGAGTAAGAGAAACAAAGTGTAGACCGAGCCGACCACTAATTCCCCCCATCAACATACGTAACAGAGGGGCTTGGCGCCGCCCCCCGTCAAAAAAATGAGTCCGAAAATCGCGGAAAAGCCGAGCGGGATCAATCAAGCTTGTGAAACACACACACTCACACTCACACCCTTGACACATACCTCCCTCACTCGCAACTCACACCATAAGTAGATAGAAACGTAGTGCAAAGTGGAGAGCAGGGCCGCCGCCCCGAGGAAGTTGACTTTCCTATTTGCCGTGATCAGAGCAAATGCCGATGAGCTGGCTTTTCTCTTATTTTTTCCTTTTCTTTTCTTTTCTTTGTTTTGTGTTTGATGATCCTTATCGGTTTTGGTTCCTCATCCGTAGTTAGTATTTACCAACTATGTCATAATTGATGACTTTTTTTTTTTTTTGCCTGATCGGCTTTTCTTCCCTACATTCCGTTTCCATCGGAATTTTTTTCTTCTTATTTCTTTTCCTGTATTCTATTGTTTTCAATTTCTATAATATTGCGTTGTCAGTTCGATCTGCAGTTTCAGGTAGTTTGCTACATACCTACCGTAGTGCCTAAATCTAAATGAGTAGTATGTACCGACCGAGGGTGGATAGACGATAGAACCCGTTATGGTGTTCATATTTATATTCATAACTAGTACTTATGTTCTCCCTACCTGACACATAGGGCATACTAGTAGTTAATCAAGATAATGGTGGCAAGTAGTTATTAGTAGGACTAAGTCCTAGGTAGACAACGCCCTACAACTAAGACACCTAATTCAGATTACAGATAGCTAATAATATAGAATCAATTATACTATCTATCCGACATGGCAATAATAAGATATAATATACTACTACTACTACTACTCTGTAATATAGTAAGCGATGATACTACAGTGAACTCAACCACCTCGGATCTAACCGGCTCATCTACCCATTCATCCACCAACACTTAGGACGCCACCAACTTAACCCCCGACCTCCGACCAGAAAGAAAGTAAGAACAGAGCACCACCGACGGACCAACGGAGTGGGAAAGGAGGGGATTCCACCCCCTGTAGAACAAAAGAACGAGACTAACCCTTCTGCGCAAATGCACATGAGGAAGATGATTCGTTGGGAGGGCAGATGTTGCAGTAGTAGTTGACTAGTAGTTTAAGTAGGGAGGATCTAAGGCCTAAGGTACTCCGTGCTAAGTGCTTTAGTAAGTAGTTCGGGTAAGTAGTTTTGGCCAGGATTGGATTGCATATGATTGGGTTGTTGGTTGCGATGTAAAGTAATAAGGAAAAATAAAAAAAAAAGAAGTGAGATGGTAATTTATTATGTTGATGGTCAGTTGGATGAACTATTACCCTAGTGAATGTGATACTTCTTCTTCTAGATGATATTGTATTTTATGTAGTTGTTGTTGAGACGGTGGTTACTTAGTATTGTATTTGTGCGTTGTAGCAGTGATGCGCGTGGGTTTAGAACTAACGCGCATCATAATAATCTCTTTGTATCTAACTACCATCTACACCAGATCCTGCTACTCAGTAATAGGGGTGTAACAACTAAGTAGAACTGTGAGGAAACTCCGAACGGGTGGCATGATGCTTGCTCAAGAGTCCACTGCGGTTTCACAATAATATATATAAACTTTGCACTGTCTTCAATTTGACTTTCTACTAGTATAGCTTAGTGATTGATGGAATTACTACTTACTACTGCAGCAAACATAGCCACCTTAGGCAGAAACTACTACTGCGCATGAAAGGTCCGTGTCCGTTCGTCTAGTACGTTGTAGTTGCAGTCACTGGTTACTAGTAATGTGGGTATTTATATATCCCGATGCAAGTCCCGAACCGACAGCTACTATTGACTACGTACTTACGTACTTCGTAGTAACTTGAAGTAAAAATGGTTACCAATCCCTTACGATCGAATTGTAGTAGGAAAGTAGTTAATTAACTAGTAGCTAGCTTATTACTATCTTGTCGTGACTAGTTCTTGAAGGTAATATTATGGTAATTGCTCAGTTGTGGTTCAGTTTCCTATACTGGTGACACATTGTCATGTGAAAATACTCACATCCTAATACGACTTCCTACTATCCATTTTATCCCTGTAATCAGCAGAATAGCAAACAAAAATCAATGCTCGGGTCAACCCGGCGATAACAGCCAAAATCAAGTAGCGCGAACATAGTTTGTTCACATGTTTGCTTGTTTGTGTCCTGAGTTAGGTTGATGATCCTGGGTTATAGCAGGCGTAGATATAGATGGTAGCCTGGGTTGGTCAGATGTGATAATAAGCCAGATATTGGGGTTTGACTGATTGACAAAGTATGCTTTCTAGGTGCCGTGTAGAAGATCATGCACCGTTGATTATTTTGTTGGAACTACGCTTTGTAGTGCGTAGAATGACTGGATGGATGGTAGATAGGTGTGATGTTGTATCAAATGCAATGTTGTTTATTTTGGCAGAAGTACTTACCCATCTACAGGGGTGGAAAAACTGATGTGTATTAACATGGGTTGAGTTTTGAATACATGCCAATTGTGGCAAGTATGTTGTTTTACATGCTGGCTTACAATGGAAACTACTCGGAAAGCTACTTGAAAGAAAACTACTAATTCATTATGGGTATTGCGAACCTGTTCATTGGTGCTACCTTTTAAACCGAAAACAATCTCATATCATACCTTCCCAGCGTGAAACCCCGGACCACTAACTTACGCCTCGTAGAGGGTGTTGAGGAAGTCCTTGGAAGCGCGCTCGGGCTTAGCGGCCTCAACCTTCTGCTGGCCGAGCTTCTCCTTGGAGAAAGCAGCAGCGTAAGGGTTGAGACGGAGCATGACCTGCTTGTTGCGGAGAGGGTTCTTCTTCTGGATGTTGGTACGCTTGGTGCGAGCCTCACCCTTGGGGGCGCGGAGGACGGACTGGATCTCAGAAGAGTTGATGAGACGGGCCAGGTCGGCGTTGGCAACAACGTTCTGGGGGAGGAGGTAGTCCTTCTTGAGGGCGGAGGCGGTGGTGGTGGTGCCGTAGACCTTGTCGAGGGCCTCGAAGGCAGCAGAGGACCAGACGATGAAGCGACCGAGGTGACCACCGGGGGCGAGCTGGAGGAGGTTGAGGGAGAAGACGGAGGAGGTCTCAACACCGGGGATGTTGCGGAAGGCACGGACGAGCTCCTTGCCATCAACCTCGGGGTTGTAGACAACCAGAGGACCGCGGCGCTGGCGGAAGCGGCGGTTCCTCAGCTTACCCTTACCGGCACGCATCTTGCGGGACTTCTGGACCTTGACAAGGTCGGCACCGGCACCGACGGCCTGGAGGAGGGCAACGGCGGCCTTGGTCTTGGTAACAGCGGAGTTCTCGAAGGTCTTGGAGTCAACGACCAGAGGGACCTCAGGAACGTTGGCAACGCGGTGACCGCGAGCGAACAGAAGAGAAGGAACGGAAGAAGCAGCGAGGGCAGAGGCAGTAGCGAAACGTCTAAAAAGCAGCCATTAGTTCACCTTCTCCTGGCTCAATCGTGTTACCTCGTCGGTCGGGATTATTATCATACCTCTGGCCAACGTTGACCTTCTGGTGCCACTTGCGCCAGACCTTGGTAGGGGCGAACATACGACCGGAACGGCACTGGTTACCGAAAGCGGCCTGACCGGCACGGTGAGTACCACCACCGGAGACACGGGGGATACGAGCGACAGCGCGACCTGAAGTTATTCACATCCATCAGCCATCCCAATTCCCCTGCGAATTTCTTGGCGTTCCTTCAAATTTGTGCACATACCGGTACCCCAGGACTCAGCAGAGGTCTGTTCACCAGCCTTCTCGCTCACGGCGTAAGGCTGTCTCTTGTTCTTGGCCATACCGGTGTGCACCTGCCTGTAATTCGAAATCCGTCAGCCATCAAATATCCTCCGCTTCTCATGATTCCTCTCTGCGAGATCGATTTTTTGTCGTAAAAAGGCTGAAACATACTGGACAACATCAAGACGGATGGGGGAGGCGAAAACAGCCGGGAGGGGGTAGGTAGCCCCCGTGGGCTTGCCATCAGCGCCGGCGATGGTGACGGTAGGACGAGACGCCATTTTTGTCGACGGTAGGGTGGTCGTTGTCGTCGTTCGAGGTTGGAGATCGAGCATCTCAAGATGAGCGCGCAAATTTTCGCTTAGTCTCACCCGCCCGTCGTGGGTGCGGCAAAGCCCTAGCCCTGTTGCCGTTTTGGGTGGGTGTTTATGCCTGAGGCGCAAATGATCTTATCGATATGGAGAACCGCGGTTATACCCTTGACATGCTACTTGGGCCTACCCTTCATCCATACAATTTTCTCTTTGATTCTTCTGTAGTCAATGTAGTCTCGTGAAGAATGTGTTGCGAGAGATACACAATAAATTACATGAAATTCTATCTTATACTTTTACGTGTGAAACAATGAAGCAAACAATCATATTTATGTCGAGTTCAGCCCTGCAAAGTCTTGACGTCTAACATCATCGCCACAACAGATCGGCTGACGCCCAGAGCACAATCTGAGTCGTTACTGCGGCATCCACTTACACCCTACAAGCCCTCATTCTATACTCGTGAATACGTTCTACAGTCATAGAACGGTAAAAAGATTCGTTGGCCAACGTTTATTTCATTTAGGATCCTCTCTACTGCAAATGGTACATGAAGGTAAACAGAAATCTCAAAAAGGGTCCTAGCACTACGCCTTGTGCAAGGAAACGAATGTAAGTCTCAATCGGTATGGGCTAGCCACCCGAATCACATTTTTAATCCACATTTAAGCGTGCACATGTCCACCGTGAGCGTGGCGTCTGGCGCGGCCCTCCCTAACGGTACGGGGCTTCAACTTGATGGCAGAAATGGCCAAGTTGGAGCTCTGTCCAGCAGTGCACTGGGTACCGGCAGCCACATTCTGAGCAGGGGTCCACTGGCCGTTCGCGCAGCGCTGGAAAGAGGAGCCATTGATGCAGTTCCACTCGCCCTCCACACTGCAAGATCCAGAGAGCGCGCCAGAGCTTGCGCTGGAGCTTGCGCTGGAGCTAGAGCTGGGTTGAGGGCTGGAGACAGAGTTGGAGCCAGAACCGGAGTCAGAACCAGAGCTAGAGCCGCTGCTGCCGGAGCTGGGTGCAGGAGTGTTCGCCACCGCAGGAGCAGTGTAGGTGTTTGCGGCCGGGGCAGAAGTAACCACAGCAGCGGCCGAAGAACTGGCAGAGCCGGAGCCGGAGCCAGAGCTGGAGCCAGAACCAGAGTAGGAGCCAGTGCTGCTGTCACCAGCGGCAGCAAAAGTGGGAGTACCGGTACAGGCGGCGGCGCCAGCGGAAGCCAGGTTGCTAGGCTCGCCATTATATTGGATGTCGTCACCAGGCTGAGGGAATCGGATGTCGACACCTTCGGAGGTGGTGCAGCCGTTGACGTTGGCGACAAACATGGGAGGGAAGGTGGAAGAGCGCTTCTCGACATCGCGCTTTTCCTCAACATCGGACCTCTTAGAAGAAGCGCTCTGGACCTCGAGGGGAGCACAGTTCATGTACATCTCACGGTTTCCAATGCGGTTGAACCAAGTCCAGGCGAGCGTGTACTTGCCGGGGCTAATGCCGTCCGGAATGGTGTAGTTGAATTTGGTCGGATCAGCCATGGAAGCACCACCAGAAAGGTTACCGTCCACGTTGGCGGGGCAGCCGCCTTCGATAGACTTGATGACCATCCATTCGGAGTCCTTGGTAGGCTGCAGATCGGTGGTCAGACTGACCTGGCAGGAGCCACCACCATGGGTGGCGGAACCCTCAAAGGTCAAAGGCATGCTCTCGCCGATCTGGGCGGTATTCCACTCGGTGACCTCGTAGGTGTTCGAGCGCAGCTTGCAAGGAAAGTCGCTGCCATCGGCTGCAAGAGGCGAGTTGTTAAGGGTGTCCTTGCCATAGGGAATGGGCTCAGTCATGATCATGTGTGCTTCAACAGCCGAAATGCCCAGGAGAGCAGCGGCCGCAAGAATGGACTTGGAAAACATGGTGAAGGAGCGTCGGTTTTGTTTTGCACTATTCGACAGCTAAAGGAGTGTTTGAAGTTCTGACCGTACCGGACGAGACAGAACAGGTGGTTGCGTTGAGCAAAAGTCTAGTGCAGATGGATTAGCCAAGAAGGAGAGAAAGGAAGGATTTATATCGAGATAGTGCATGATACGTTGGTGGGAAGTATAGGAGCAACAGACGGTGACAACCGTATAGTTGAAGCAGTATAGTGGTCGAGGATGTGTAGAGGGGCAACAAGGTTATGGTAGACAATGAAATGGTACACGGGAAGATACCAGGATAAGGCGAGGTGACAATACCTTTGTAGAACCGAATGGAAGGTGAGCTTGTCCCAGCGTTGACTTTATCTGGTCGAAACAGGCCTTTGTCACGCGTCTGATACTACTGGACAAGGATAGCTTCAGTTCGTTGGAAGTAGAAGGGAAGGTCGGAGTCTGCCGCAGGCACACAACGAAGATTCAAATGAAATCAGAAAGGAGTGTCGAAAGAAAGCAGGACTAGCCTGGTGATAGTAGGACTGTCGAACAGTGTAGAACGAAGAAAGGACTGAACGCTCCAGCGTGGTTGAAGAAGAGAAAGAAGAAAAGGGAGCAGCACTGGCAGCCCTGGGGGGTGTTATATACTTAAGATTTGGACTGTTTGAGGCGCCATGACGGTGAATCAGGTATCCAGGAGACTGGACGGATCGAGACAGGCTGTTAGTAGGCGCGCACCGAAAGTCAAGATGCGTGTGAGTGGGGAGGGGGAGAAGATTGACAGACAGTGAATTGGGTTGCATGTCGAGTCGTGGGACACATAGTTTTGGTGGAGGGTAGATGGACCCTGAGTGGTCCCTGACGAGAAGGGACTCCATAGCCCAAAGATGAAACAAGCCCGCAGCGGAACCTGGGACTTCGGCTAACGACGCATTTCTCTGTTTACTGTGTAGAATCTCAGTAAATGTTTCCCCCTGCCAGCCCATCCGTCGCACCATCAGCCCGGCCCGCCGTTTCATTGGCTGGGCCCAAGGCGGTTGGCGCCGGCATTTGCCAATCAACGCCTGCAGGTCGCGGATTCGCTCTGATTGATCGGCTTCCAACTAAAAACTAAAAGCAAAAAGTATCATCCGCCAGCCTAGTAAGTAGTTAGACAACGTTGTCCGACCGGTCATCTCGCCCTTTCCACACCTTCCGATCATTCTTTCTGCTCGGCGAATGAGCCTCCAAAGCTCGCCATTCGGCTTGATCAAGTGTGACCCGCCCACTGGCCGAAGGTCCCCTGCCCTTACATTGCAGCCTTTGCGGAAGATGAAGCCGACGTGGGGCGATGGACACAGCCTCGCAGCCACTGAGCAAAGATATGCATTTCTATGACTCTTTCCAAAAGGCAGCAGCGAATTGTGAGTCCAGGCGAAACAAATTTTCCTTTTTTTCGCCTCTACCATGATTCCAACATTCCACGCATACGAAATACTGTGAAGAAGTTTGCTCTCCTGTCATCATTCCTGTCCCCATTGACCGGGAGGCTTTCATTGTCAGGCTCAACAGGACCCGATTGTAAGAGATGGCATGGGCGAGACCATCCATGAGATATCTCATTCGACCACAGAAAAACCAAACTAAGAATACATCTCCATCTCCAAGATGATCCTTCAGCCCAATCCCAAGCTCCCCTGGCAATTCCTTCCACCCAGCCATGAGCGTGTGTGCCGACTTGGCGCTTCGGTGGCGAACCAAATGCCCGTCCATGTCTTACCGGTGAAAATCTTATTGCATCCCGCTGCCCCGTATAGAGCAAAGCATACTACACCACACAATCCATACCCTTTTTTTTTTTCCGGGCCTGAAAAAAAGGAAGCAAAAACCTCCGTATGCAAGTGGCAGGGAATGTTGGCAATCCTCAGCCGCCGACTTTTGACCCAACCAGGACACAAAGTAAACATCCAACCTCCTGCGCCATGGTTCAGATCATGATCCCCGCATGGACGGACCCTGTCGGCGCAAAAGTTTGGTTGGATCGGTGGGGTTCTTTTCCCTCCCACCGTTTTCTTTCTCTGGCTTCCTTTCATCATGTCGGAGGGCGGCTGGCTCCGTGATCTAATTGCTACACGTTGATACCATTTACTGGATTCTTCGTTGCTGGGATCATGGATCAAAGAAAGCGTAGACGCGCTGCGAGTCAACAATTTCTTTGTGCAATAGCCGCCCACTGTGTGCGCCATGTGGATTCGATGCATCATTGGTTACACATGACTACTACTAATAGTCAATAGTATGCGCGATATATTTAGGTAAGAGTTGATCCTAAGTGACTGCATAGATCAGGTCAGGCACACCAATCCATAAACCAATAAACGAAACAGATTAGTACGCAGTAGTAAATAGCCAAGCTGCTGTCCTATGACGTCGTCTATCGCCTCCAGTACTTTTATTCCCAACTCACTCAACTTCTATCTATACCAGATCAAAAAGAGACCTATCTACTCAACACACAACGACAGCTCCAGCTATACCATTACCCAAAATTCCAAGCATGTGATCCCGATAGCTACTAACTAATCACCTTCCAAACCCAGCAATAGTCAACCCCACAAAAACTATTAATCACATCACCAAAAAAAACTTGGCAAATTAAACCCATCACCCCATCATCATCAAAACACGAACTGGACCCATCAAAAAGGTAAAAAAAATTCAACAAAGTACTACTCTACTTCGTAGACCCTAGATAGTAAGTACGACTAACTCCGGAAGCCCCGAAAGGATTTCGGCAGTTTCGAGAATCATTGAGATTGAAATTGCGGGGGGTGGGTGGTCAGGAAATCAATCTGAAACAGGGGACGCCGGCGGGAGATCGCGACTGTCAGCTAAGCGAAGGGGTTGATGAGAAGATTTTCGATACTAGTTTTTAATATATGATGAAGAATTATGTTTATTGTCTGGGGGCGTCTGAAAATTGAGTCAGGGAGTTAAATTATGGATGGATTGTTAATATTGTTGCCTGCTTTAGTTGATATTTGTTGTTTTTGTTGATGTTGGGGTGATTGCGGTGGATGATGGATGGGATGATGATTATTGTGATGATAGTAATGAATACTACTCTACTATAATTGACTTTGGAATGGTGGGACACTATGTGTAACTACATAGTCTGAGTAATTTATCATGCAGTAAAATGAAATTAGTATTGTCTGATTGTGAGGAACATATAACATAATATAGAAGAATGTTGGCGATTACATTACTACAGTGCCTAAGCCTTTGCAGAACGTTGAATGGGGCTGGAATGGGTTGTGTGGTTCGGGCCATCTGACAGTGGATACAACGGGATCATCGGTAATGAATGTGGACTGCTGGTGTTCTGGATCGAACTCCTGGCTTGGTCATTGGAACGTTGTCTAGACCTTCTACCTTGTGCAGAGTTGTGTTGGAGATGCTGGCTAATGATTGCCTTGGACCCTCCCCTCAGCAAGCCCATCGCCACTTTGCAGGGCAGGCACCATATTGAGGGAATAATTTGCCGCATGTTGTTGGCGTCTGGGCATTTTACTGATAATGGAGATCTGTTTAATTAGAGGGATGCTTGCAGGCTGATAGCTGAAAGAATATTGGGAATGCCAAGCTGTGGTGTTTACTAGAGTAAGGGCATGGTTTCCCGAGATAAATCCGTGTTAGTCTAACATCCATCCTCATTCATGCTCGACAATGAATTATCAAACTAGCCCCCCCAAAAAAATATCTCTTGTACAATCTTTTCCAACTCGGCAACCCAATTCACTCTATGCACTCGCACTGGTCGGAATAGAGGGATCTGGGAGACTCGTTTAGCCATTATCTACAACTACCTCACCAAAGGTAAGGTAAGGAAAGGTATGTGAAAGAAGCAACTTACTGGGATTTTCAGTGGTGCCATTATGAATTGCGGTTGTATCCACGCCCTGAAGGGTTTGCATCGTTAGCATCTTGCTGGGTCCAATTCTGATTAGTGTTCCCACTTACCAAGGTAATGTATCCCAGAACTCTGTTCGCATAATCCTGGCCATCCAGAGGCTCCGTGTCCATGATAGTCATGGCTCCCGCTGTGAATCAGGCCACGGAGTCAGCATCTCAGCAGAAATCAAACTGAAACAGACATGATTATGCTTACTCAACGATTCCTCATACCAGACCCCGTCCTGTGATACTGGCTTCCGCGGAATCTGGGTGTGATAGGCATACGGCGGCACTGCCATGACTTGGGTAGCTACATCTTCGTTGAAAAACAACTGTGCCGTGTTTACCGTTCGACTTCCACCGATGGTGCCATTACTGGTGATAGTCCAGTCAGTATGCACTTGCAGGTGGACATGAATAGCGCGGTTGGTCTGGGGAGATTGTCAGCTTGCTTGCGTCCAATACTGATTAATGGGCGTGCATCCTCACATAGAATCCGGGGAATATAGAAGTAAAGCTGGTTGCACCATTGTCATCGGTCGGCCACATGCCCCGAAGCCAAGTTGTATTGTCCGTTGCTAGGAACTTAGGTTTTCCGTCAGATGATAAGAACATTCTTTGGAAGACGTCGTCAGGGGAGCAAAGGGGGGTATTACTGAGGTATCACTTTCGCCCTCATTTTTGGCGGGGAGTTGCTCACCAGTGCTTTCAAAGTACTGGTCCTGAAATGGGATATCTGGATCCAAGCCTGTGAAAGAACTATACGATCCACTAGCATTGCACTGCTATTCCTGAGGTTAGAACGGCATTTACTCTTCCAATTACTCCCGTGCCAATCAAACAGCTTGGTGAACGACAGGGAAGAACCGGGGTAGAGTGAACTCACCCAAATATCTACCAATGCATTGGACAAGGGCTCGCAGGTATGAATGTCCATAAGCCCAATGTCTAAGACAAAGGGCACCCCGACCTGATCTTCCACAATATCCTGACGCAGGACCTGACTCCGCGGATAAATGTAGGGCCCCGTGCTAGTCTCAGGCGTCAAAATACAGGTGTCATTCTTCAAGAAATCATACTTGGGGGCATCAGCCGTGATGGTGTACGTGGTGGTGCCGCTGCCGTCGTCCTCAGAGGGCGAGAGCGCCCGTCGGCGCATTGCATGCCGTTTCCTCTTCATGAGGCCGACTGTGTCGGAGCATCTCTTCGCCAGTGCGCCACGGCGCGCCAAGTGGACGGGATCGGGTTGGGCATGTGGTCCTGGGTGCGCTGGTGGAAGGAGTTAGAATTGAACTTGTGAGACTCGGAATAGGGGAGTCACGGACCGTGGATGAAAGATGCCAGCAAGAAAGCTGAGCCTAAAAGGAGAGACTTCATGATGCGATAAACAAGAATAATGTCGTGCAGGAAAGTCTACGGGGATAGCGCTTGCATGGATTTGCTGCTCATAGAAGAAATGAAATGCTTACTTCTGTTCCTATTTAGAAATTCTGGCTCGGTAGATGGGGTAGTTGACAGCGCAGTAAACAATTGTGATATGATTATCTCTTGAATCTCTTCGGAGCACGAAAACGGATATTGTTAACGGTCCCGATCCATGGATCTGCAAGCAAGGTTTCATCGGAACTAAATATTTTCAACGATTCAATGATGTATGCTACCATTGCCAAAGCTTAAATGGGCGGATTCATCTTCCGTTCATTTTTCATCTTGCTTTCTCTCGGTAATGAGGACATTTTCGCTTTATATTTTTTTCGTAATTCTTGGTACTATTCTTGGTTTACAACTATGATGTATGTATCAGTGATAAGCGAAGCCGCCTTCAATCATCTCCTTGACACGCTTGGTACATTCATCGAGATTTTCTCGGGGCAATCCCAGGGCATCATTAGCCAGGCCATGCTTCTCTCCAAAGTTACCGTCCCCATTGGGGTAGAATTGCCGCGTGTATAGCATTTGAACATATCCCAGCTTGTCACCCTTCTTCAACCGTTCCTGGCCTTGAGCATACCGTTCGTGGCTTGGCGCGTATTCAAGAGTCCATTCCTCGTCTTTATCGCCGGTGACCCTTTTCCAACTCTCGAATATGTCCCTCTGGCTTATCGTAAAGCTAGCAATGTACAGAGGCCTGTGCTTCCATGTGTTCACTGTTGGGCTTGTATCGCCTGGACCATCCGGCAGCTCCTTCAGATTCAATAGAGCGGCAACTGCACGGCCACATTGATCCCAAGTACTAATATTAATCTTAGTGTTCCCGTTATCAATAAGGGTGAGATGCTTTCTCTGCACGTCAAACCCGAAACACTCCGCTCCCCGAGCCATACTAAACTCATACCAGAAGCCACAGACGAGCGCGATCCACGAGCAGACATTTGTGGCCTCGATTTCCTGGAGAGACTTGCGAATCACGTCTCCTCTGCGAGTCTCCTTGGCCAAAGCGTCGTTGGTGAAGTCGGACCCATAGGCATTGGGCATTACATATGGGAGGCCGGCTTTGGCTGCTGCTCGAATTAACTTGGCCTGAGTATCCGGTGGTGCTATGACAAACATGGTTATTATGAGAAACTGTTGGTCTTGCAGGGCCTTGACAAGGGTTGATTCATCATCGTAGTCGATGTAGAAAGGCTTCACGCCTTCCGGCAACTTGTTCTTGCTGCCTGACCGGGTTAAACCAGTAACTGTGTGCTTGCCTGTCCTGACAAGCTCTGTAGCGATATAATGACCGATGGAGCCACCAGCCTATGAAGCATCCGAGTCAGTACCAAAGATGTGATGATTGCCAAGATCTATGTTCTGACTTACGCCAACAATAGCCACCCGTTCCATGCGATTGGAGAAGCCTGGAGGCTGGTCTTTGGCATACTTTACGGCCATGGGAATGTGGAGTGGGGTATGACGACTGTGTCTAAGATGAGATACCGGAGGCCCTGAAGCATCAAACTGGGCTCCGAGACTATCAGGCTGGAAAGGGTCGAAGCAGCAGAAAGCATGAACCACTCCCAAGGAGAAGAGGCAGAAAAGGTAATCAAAAAAGCACAGGGTAGTTAAGAAAGCAGCACAAGGCCATGAGTAGTCCAGGAGGGGGAAGACACTCACCTGCTACGGCCCACCATCCTTCAATTTCTAGACGACTTCATTCCTCGTTCATTCCTCATTCATTCATTCGCCACTATTTTCCACCATCCCTTGCTTCGGTACGCTGCCACTTGCCACAGACTTTCTGTCTCTATGCATTAGTGGGTCCAGTCGATATTAAATCCATAGCAATGATAGTCAAGATGATGAAAATAGTGGGGTGCGAATCAATGATTCAGATGACCGCAACTGGTAAAAGTTGTATGCTATCTGCGGGTCCCTCTGGCAATTTCAGCGCGCCTATATCAAGCAGTACTGGGCCTACCATTAGGCAGATCACTCATACAGCCACTCATGCAGCTCAAGTGGCTCACACTGGTGTGTTTGTCCTCCTGGCCATCGGCCAGGGCTCTGTACAACCAATCCACTGGCTTCCCTGAACAGGACCTCGACAATGGTGTCGCATTACAGCAAATTGCCGACAATGCCCTGAATAACATGGAGCAAGAGTCTCTGACAGCCAATGGTTGTCGTTTGGAGGACGCTCAGATCCGCAGAGAATGGTAGGTTCATTCTGCGTGCTTTAAACTTTGGAACACGGTACAAATCAAACATCTGACATCTGTGGTAGGCGCAGCTTGTCTCCGAATGCAAGAAAGGAATTCACTGACGCTATCACGTGCATGCAGAGCCGTCCAACAAATATTTCTGCAGAGGAAAAGGAGACCTTTCAGGGAGTAAAAACTCGGTATGATGAGTTCGTAGCAACCCACATCAATCTAACGGAACACATCCATGTGACGGTAAGTATCGATCAGTACGCAAATGATATCGAACCATGAGCTGAAGTGCTATGATGTAGGCTGATTTTCTCGCGTGGCATCGGTTCTTCATTCACGCGTTTGAGAACGCCCTGAGGGTGGAGTGCAACTATACCGGCACTCTTCCCTACTGGGAATGGGGACTTGATGCGGAGAACCCCCAAGACTCTGTCCTTTTCAATGGTGATCTTTACAGCATGGGGACTAATGGGGTAGATCTGAACCGGACAAGCATTTACTGGGCATCTCAAAATATAACCATTCCAGCCGGGACTGGGGGTGGGTGCGTATATGGGGGCCCTTTCTCCAATTACACTGTGCACATGGGCCCTATTGATGCTCCTGGAGAGCAACCGGTCCAATACAACTTGGAGTATAATCCACGCTGCTTATCGCGAGATGTGAATCCCTCCGTGTCTCGGATGTCTAACTCCTTTCGCAACACTACGAAATTGATTCTCTCGTACGATACGATTGATTGGTTTCAGGGTGTCATGCAGGCAGATCAACGTTTCACTGATCCCACTGCTCCTTTCAGTTATGGAGTCCATGGTGGAGGCCATCTCACTGTTGGAAGTGTCTTGGCAGACATAGATACCAGTCCGGCCGAGCCGATGTTCTGGCTTCATCATGCCCAGATTGACCGTGTTTGGACCATCTGGCAAGGGCTGGATCCTGCGAAAAGAAGAAACGCGATCTGGGGCACTTCAACCCGAGGCGATGACCCACCTTCTGCAAACATGACGTTGGACGATTCGCTTAATTTTGGGTTTATCTCTCAGCCGCTGAGATTTGCCGATCTGATGAACCCTCTGTCTGGACCGTTCTGCTACTACTACGCATAGCAGATAACGTTTTGAGTTTGGGGATCTTGATTATCTCGGCTCCAAACAGACTCGCCTATCCGAGAGATCAAGTACATAATGCAACTAGCTATTAGTCAAATATAACGCCGGCAGAAGTCTATTTTGTCCTTTTCTCTTTCTTTCCTCGAAGAAAACCCGTGGATTAACTTGAGCCGGTCGGCCTCAAAGTCGGCTCAACCGGCGCGTTGCCAACTTTAAATGCAGACAACCATCGTTTCCGGCCGTTGTGGGGGCGATGTAGATCAGATCCAAATTCCCAAAACATCCATGGGGTAAATCAAGAATTGAGGTTACATCGACCGATAGGGCTCTTAATCCAACCCTCTTCACGGGGAAAACCTTCTATATGATACATGGTTTACTCCTCTGTTTCTCTTCCTCCCCGGAGGTGCCAAATCCGGGCGCATCGTGTCTATTCTTAGCAACCAGCGAATTTGACAAATTGATCCAATCCCATAGAATCAGAGTAACTCTACAACCCAATCAGTCGCCTAATACGCACAGCAAAAGAAGATGCATTCGGACAGCCAACGCAAGAAAAGAGATTAAAAAAAAAAAAAAAAAAAAAAAAAAAAAAAAAAAAGGCCTCCCCTCATCACCTCACCAAAGTCGCAATCAATCAGCGACCACTAGCTACATCGCGACTGAACGATAGCATTCCGCATGGTGTTAAAGTTCAAGACAGTTGCTATGCTTGCCCGAACCTTTACACATTCTTGCCCTTTCCGTAGAATTCCAAGCTCATCGGACAGAGAGTAGTGTTTCTGTGAATGTGGTGGTTTACCACCGTTACCTCTGCTGTCTATCACTTGCTCCTACCCCTGAGCACAGGCACCATAGTTACAACACCCCCACGGGGCCATTGTCTGTTTTCAGCTTCAGCTTCGTCGACAATGGACTGTCATATCCCCTCATCTCAAAAGAATGTCGGAAACACTGTATGGCATGGCGTGTGGGAACCGATCAATTTGTATAATATCTTAGGCCCACCTCTTCCCCTCCGAGAGGTTTGACATCAGGGGGTTTCAGAGATAGTCCGTCGATATTTATGGCTTCCTCTGTCTTCTTGCCGCTACTTGCGGCCTCATTACTGCCCACACTCGCTTCTACACAGAATGCCGATACACCGACATCCGCTCCTACTGTGCAAGTCCGCAATGGCACATACGAGGGTCTCTATAATCCCACGTACAATCAGGACTTGTTCCTCGGCATACCGTATGCGCAGCCTCCGGTTGGTGAGCTACGATTCCGTCCACCACAACCGCTCAACACGACGTGGACTGGCACTCGAAATGCAACAGCCTATTACAATGAATGTATCGGTTATGGTAGCGACGACTGGTATTGGACCGACGTAGTCTCCGAAGATTGTCTCGCTCTCAGTGTGATTCGACCTCACGGCATCGACTCAAGCGCGAAGCTGCCCGTCGTCTTCTGGATGCATGGTGGAGAATTCGCAGAAGGAGGCACTCGCGACTCCCGTTACAACCTCTCCTACATCGTCCAACAATCCCAGGAGATGCAATCTCCCATCATTGGCGTGACTGTCAACTACCGCCTTTCGGGATGGGGATTCCTCTATAGCCAGGAAGTCGCCGACGAAGGCTCCGCCAACTTAGGACTCCGCGACCAACGGCACGCTCTGTACTGGCTCCAAGAGAATATCGCTTCCTTCGGCGGCGACCCGTCGCGGCTCACCATCTGGGGCCAAAGTGCCGGTGCCAACAGCGTCGGTCTCCATTTAGTGGCATACGACGGCCAGAATGATGGCATCTTCCGTGCCGGGATCGCCGAGAGCGGCTCCGTACCCTCCCTCGCAGCATACATGAGCGCCGAAGATGCACAACCATACTATGATGCCGTCGTCAACGCAACCAACTGCACCGGCTCTTCCAACACCCTTACTTGTCTCCGTGAAGTTCCCACCGACGTCCTCAGCTCCATCTTCAACAGCTCCCTCGTCGCTGGGGCAGGATATCATCCCGTCATTGACGGCGATTTCCTCAGAGCCTCGGGGATAGTTAATCTCCAGACTGGCCAATTCGCCAAAACCCCGCTTCTTATCGGCACCAACTTCGACGAAGGGACCAAGTATGCCCCTCATGGCTATAATACCACCGACCAATTTGTCTCCCTCGTCCAAGCCAACGGAACCAATTATACCAGCGCTCTCACCATTGCATCCCTGTACCCAGATGACCCAGCCGTTGGTATTCCGGGAACCCTTCAAGGTCGTCCCCCACCGTCATACGGTTACCAGTGGAAGCGCGTGGCTGCCTTCCTCGGCGATCTGCTCATGCACGCGCCTCGCCGCGTGACAACCCAGTGGCTGGCACACTGGAATGTACCTGCCTACGTGTATCACTGGAACGTGATGACACTAGGGCCATTAGATGGAGCCGCGCATGGCTATGAAGTCCCCTTCAGTTTCCATAATTATGATGGTTTGGGCGATGAACGGGGAAACGACAGCGTGACCTGGCCACAACTATCGACTATGATGTCACGGATGTGGGTGAGCTTTATTAATCATTTGGATCCGAATTATAGTAATAGTGAGTGATTTGCCCCACCTACCTCTGGACACTGCTTTAGGAGCTTGAGGGTAAGGAAGGATGCTGACACGCTGCTCTGCTAGTGACGGATATCCACTGGCCTGTCTACACAACAGAAACCCCGCAAAATATGGTCTTTGATGTCAATGTGACTGGACTGGCTTATGTTGAACCAGATACCTATAGAGCGGAGGGAATTGCGTATATCACTAGCATTCTGCAGAGTGCCTTTAATCGGTAGGGTAGACTAGAGGCTTCAATATCAATAGATATCACACATACAGGAGAGCAGCCCATGTTTCCCTCCAGATCAAGAGCTATTCCGTTAAAAGGTAGTGCATCCCCGCACCGGGGGGAAGGCCGGGGAGTGCTTACCTCTGTGTGAAACTAGAATTCCAGCAACGATGGTTTTAGAAAGGCCAGATCTGTTGACTCATTGTTTGATCCTCCGATGTTGCATCCGAGAAAGCTTCTGCTTGGTCGTGCCAAGGATGTTAACAGCTGCTGTTGAGGCAACTCTAGAAACCCCATAGACCTTTACTATCTCGCTGACTAGAGGGTACAGTAGGTCCTACTTTGAATTCCTTGGCGGTTGGGATTTCGCGGAAGGTTGTCTCAACCCTCAATGCTTGTCACGACAGACGGCTTGGCAATGAGACGAGACCACGGGCGATTGACATGTGTCAAGCAGTAGCTATCGGGAATCTGAAAAAGCATGGCTGTCATGGACTTTGCAGGCAAAGGCTGTCTGTTCTAGACCATCGGCTAGAGCGCGGTGAGCATACTAGGCGAGCTGAAAAGCCTAGAAGCGGTTGCCGGTTATCCGCTTTGTTTGTGCCCTTTCCGTTTCCGGGCGTAGGCAATCACATTTAGGCAATGCCGTGTGGGCCTTGGAGATCTCACCTAACCTTATTGCATTTTACCTCACGGTGATACAACCTGAGTGACTATCAGGGAAACTGAGCCTATTGATCATCACATATTAGCACCACACAAAGCTGCCAAGGAACAATAGTAATGTGAGCGCCAAGGAGATATCTTTGAACTTTGTCTCCAGATCTTGTACTACATACCCAGCCAGACAGGGGTTCGTATCGATGGCTCCACAGCGGGATATCATGAATCTTCATGTCGTCACGACTCATACCTCGAGCGATAGGGCCGGGTATTACTCCATCTGGAAATTGTCATGACTGTAGAGCTCAGCTGTCCGGGATACGAGCATTATCCGTCAGTTTATAAATTCCAGGGCCATCCTGCTCAATCTCAACATGTGGGCTCTTACGCTGTCATCATATTAGTTAGGGTCCAAGAGAATCACAGAATCATTGGCATTGTTCTTCATCGTTCCAAATGGCGCCTGGAATCCTGACATATCTGGAGCAGGCGGCCGAGTATTCGCCGTCTAAAGGCTTCGTCTTCTATAGTGTTGGTAAGGACCAACCGGAGACAATCCTTTACCCCGATTTTTGGCGCCTCGTCAAGGTAACATCCACCCGCATCAGTACCATGAGTCCCAGCAGGTGGTTTCATGTTTGCTTTGCTGACCGCATAATTCTCAGCGTAATGCTCAAACTTTAGTTGAAAAGAAAGTCGCGGTGCCTGACCGGGTTCTCCTGGTCCATTTTGACACTCACAAAGAGAACATCATATGGTTTTGGTCTGTCATTGCAGCCGGATGCGTTCCAGCTGTGTCTACTCCCCTAGCTGTAGACCCAGTGGCACGAGAACGGCATCTAACTCACCTTCAGAGGCTCCTAGAGAGACCCAATGTCCTCACCAGTGTGAAGCATACAGATGACTTGAGTATCATTGATGACTCTCAAAAGTTTTTCATCGAGGATCTGGCCTCGAATGCAGATCAATCTGCAGATTATCAACCTGCGAGCCCTTCGTCAGACCTTGCGCTGCTACTGCTCACCTCCGGCAGTACAGGTAATGCCAAAGCGGTGATGCTGCACCACTCTCAAATACTCGCCGCGATTGAAGCCAAGTGGAAGGCACTTTCAAGCACTCCGGACAACGTCTTTTTGAACTGGATTGGTAAAAATGCCTCTCAATTGTGACTCTCCAACCCTATGAGGCGCGGCTAACATCTCGTCGTAGGGTTTGATCATGTTGCCTGCTTCATGGAGATGCACATGCACGCGTTATCCAGGGGCTGCCATCAGATTCATCTCCCAGCCGTGACGGTTCTGGAGAACCCCATTCTTTATCTGGAGAAGATGGCAGAATATTCTGTCACGAACGCTTTCGCCCCCAATTTCCTCGTGGCCCTGGTAGGAAAGGCCATCGAGGCCCAACAGGAGCGGGATCCTCGTGCACTTGATCTGGACTTGAGTCACTTGCGCATTGTGCTCTCAGGTGGTGAAGCCAATCTCACATCGACGAGCATCATATTCAACCGTAAGTTGGTCGAGATGGGAGCCGCCAAGAATGTCCTCCATCCGTCCTTCGGTATGACAGAGGTAAGCGGCACCGTATGAGATATGCAATTGGCGGACCTGGCCCACTAATACTGTTGAGCTTTGGTAGACTTGTGCAGGCATCCACTATCACTACAGCTTCCCCGAACTTGAGCAGAAGGCTAAGCTGCAATTCTGCTCTGTGGGGCAAACAACGCCCACACTGCAGATGCGAATCACCGATGAAAATGGGGAGACGGTGAGAAGTGGCGAGAATGGAAACCTGGAGTTGTATGGGCCGATGGTCTTCAAGGGCTATTACAACGACGACAAGAACACCAAGGCTGCCTTTACCGAGGACGGCTGGTTTAAGACTGGTGACACTGGATACATCGATAACAGGGATAACCTTGTGCTGTCTGGACGGTCCAAGGACAGTATCATCATCAATGGAATCAACTTTTATTCTCATGAGCTGGAGAATGCCATAGACTCAGCCGGGCTGGAAGGGCTTGTCCCCTCGTATACGGTGGTTGTCTCATCCTGGCTTGAGAATGCAGACAGTGAAGATGTCATTGTCCTATACCTTTCGAGCCAGAAAGGCACTGAAGACGACAGAATCTTCCTCGAAACTCTTAATTCGATATCCAGAATAACTGCTCTTTACTGCTCCAAGCAGCCAGTGGATATCATACCACTCCCAGTAGAGCTGCTTCCCAAAAATTCTCTGGGAAAGCTCCCTCGCACAAAGCTCAAGCAGCAGTATGAAGAAGGTCGTTTCAGCACATACAGAGATCTTGCCGCACAAAGAGCTTCTTCGTATCGTGCACGATCCAAGCGTGCCCCGCAGAACGACATGGAAGAGACGCTTGCTGGGATCTTTGCAGACGAATTTGGCCTTGATATGTCCGAAGTTGGTGTGGACGACAGTCTTTATGACATGGGAGTGAATAGCGTCCGGTTAATTCGATACAAGAGGATCGTGGAGACTCGTCTCGGCCTAACCGAAGAAATCCCAATGATCACGATCCTGCAAAACCCGACTATCGAAGCATTGGCAGTTATGCTTCAGGATCTTCAGAAAGGCCCCAAGCCATATGACCCGATTGTGCAGCTGCAGGACGGCCCATCAAAGGCTCCTCCGATCTTCTTCTTCCACCCCGGAATGGGCGAAGTCCTTGTGTTCCTCAACTTCAGCAAGTACTTTGCTGACCGAAAAGTGTACGCTTTTCGAGCCCCAGGTTTTAATCCAGGTGAAAAGATGTTTACCACTATCGACGAAATGACAGAGTAGGACTCTTGAGACCGCCCCGTCATAGAAGCCTCATAGCTGATGACCGTACTAGTGTCTACCTCAAGTCCATCCGAGAGCTTCAGCCGGAAGGACCGTACATTTTCATCGGGTATTCGTACGGCGCCATGATTGCTTTCGAAACCGCCAAAAAGGTCGAGGCTTCTGGCGATAGAGTCGGCTTCCTTGGTAGCCTCAACCTTCCGCCACATATCAAGAAACATATCCGAGAGATGGATTATGCCGAGTCGCTGCTTCATCTCGTATACTTCCTCGGGTTCATTACCGAAGAGGATGCCCATCGTATGTCTCCTGATATGCACAAGGTGAGTCATATTTATAAGGTAATATTGTTCGAGTAAGACTCTTGTTAATCATCACTTCTAGCTCCCCCAAAGCGAGGTCCTTCCAGCCATCATGAAAGTCTCCGATAAAGAGCGCGTCCAGGAGCTGGCCATGGACGAAGGAAAGATCCGAGACTGGGCGATGTTGTCGTCCAAGCTCCAGGAGCTAGCCCATACATATGATCCTTCTGGAACTGTGCAGGTGATGGATGTTTTTTACGCCATCCCGCTGCTTTCTGTTGGTCGAGACAAGGATGTCTGGCTCAAACAGCACCTCATGAGGTGGAAAGAGCATTCCAAGTCGGTTAGGTTCCACGATGTTCCTGGCTCCCATCATACGATGATGGCAGAAGAGAATGTCTTTGCATTGCATAAGATTCTCCGGGCCGCATTGAACGAGCGCGGAATGCTTTGATCAAAGCTAGGGGCGTCTTCTCGGATAGTCCGATTACCTCTTGAATAATGGGAAGATAGTCTGGATAGTGGGCATAATCTTAGCGGGAACATTCCTGAGCAAAGATGTTTCATATGTGATACGGTTAGTAAAAACATACTCGTATTGATATAAGAATGTAATATTCTTCTTGCGCGCGATGATCATGTATAAGACAAGAGATATCACTATTGTAGCAGGGGACGCATTCTAAATGGAAGGAGGATACAAAGCAGGGAGAAGATAAGAAAAGGCCAGAAAAGAAAGAAAGAAGAGGGTGGACAGAAGGGTTATGGCTGAATATAGTAGTTGTGGCGATGGGAGCACACGTCGAGTCCAGAAATCGAAATATGCCACCAGTGCAGACCGAAACGGGAAGGTGGCGTGTACACACAGTAGAGCAGCAACGAAGACGGTTCTCTATCCCTCCGCGGCGTGACGTTGCAAAGCTGTCATCAGGATATTCTATGGTTCCCTCTAATACAGATAGCTTCTTTCCGAAGACAGTAGCTAATTCTCCCAGCTTCTCCACCTGCGAGGTCTTTCATCTTGACTTCCTCTCAGGTGGAATCTCCTCTATCAGTAGTCCTTCGAGCTTCTGAATAGCTCGCCCTTCGCATACTTGGGTAGTATATCCTGCCATCCCATTTGCGAAGACGCCAACCTCGCAACTGCGAGTCTCAAGCCTATATGTACGAGTACGCAGGCCACCTTTATCCAAGGGCATCTATCGAATCAGACCATAGGACTTATCGACAGCGCACATCACTAACCGCACGCATACCGGCCCGTTCAAGGAGTCATCGATTCCCCAAATCTCCGCGGACCATTTTGCGTCTCGTAAGGAGAGTGCACCACAACGGGCCTACCCAATTCACAAGCAATAGCACCTCCACCCACCATGCTTCCAATCATTTCTTTCCCTTCTTCTTTCCCTTCTCCCCAGCTGTCTTCTCTTTAACAAAACCCCCCTTGACCAGCGCATCCCTTCCGGCCGCATTGATAATGCGAAACCGATCCGGCCCCAGCAACACACCGCCATACCATCTCGTCACCACAACCACCACATCCCAAACATCCATCAACTGCATCAAATGCAGTAGTCGACCTCCAGCAGCTGTCTCCCCATCATCATCACAATCCTGCACAATCATCTCTGTAGCTTCTCCATTCTTACTACCGCCAGCAGTAGAAGTAGATGATTTCACCTCGCGAATCCTCCACGCACTGATATTATGCGTCGCGGACGCAACCTTTTTCTCCGTCGCGAGCAGATGATCCAGGAACGCCTTTGCCTGGTCCAGACTCGTGACGTGGGCTGCGCGCCCGACGAAGACGGATTTCTTTTCCGTGATGACGTCGGAAAGGATCCATGGCGGTGGGCTAGTGAGGTTAAATGTGTGATGGTCGGGGGTTGTTGATCTTGTGGTTAGCGGTTGATGGCTGCCGTTTTCGGTGTTGAGTTCTTCGGAGGCAGGTTGGGTGTGGGAAGTTGTGTCATTGTTGTTGGTAGTGGTGGTTGTAGCGCTGCCACCAATATTGAGCTCCGTGAATGCCTGGACGGCTTCATTGATCAGGTCGAATAGACATACCGCACCCGGCTGGTATGTGCGGCTGAGAATGTCCTCTAGTACATCGACGGCGAGCTTGCCCTCTCCTCGTGAGGCTGTGGATGCTGTTCCTAGGATTTTGGGCGGGGTGTCGGGATATGTTGAGTTGAATCCGAGGAGGAAGGACAAGTGAGGGTGTTCCGGAAGTTGAAGCTTTATTGTTGTTGAAGGAGGAGAAGAGTCTGAGGAGCCGGAGCCGCCGAGATCGAGAGTTGAGGGGCCGGTCGAGGTAGAGGTGTTAGTGATGGTGAGGGTGTCCGGTTCGTAGATGGCATTGATGGCTTCAATTTCTTCCGCTAGATCGGTATTCTGCAGGGATTCGAGGGCCGAATCCATTTTTGCGGGATAGGGTAAGGCTGGGCAGCCCTGGGTGGCAGCGGGGACGATGGTTGACTTGATGCCGCGGGGTTTCAAGATATTATCGCGCATTGCGCTGGGTCATGACGGTTATCATGCGATGGAGCGGATTTATTCCGATGTTTGGTTCTGATGTCAATCTTAGTTGTACCAAAGTTATTGTAGAATTGGCTCTATAGCTCAATGGTAGGGCGTCAGTTTTCGGTACTGAAGATTCTGGGTTCGAGTCCCAGTGGGGTCGCTTTTTGTTTTTTGGGTAACCCGCCCCGCATTCCTTACCGGCGCCACTTTTTGGATTCTTTTGGAGCAGTGATTGACCACTGCATATAAAAATTAAATAAAATCAAATGACATATATACTCTTTTGATGCTAGATAACGATTGTGTTTCTTTTCATAGACTCTAGGGCGGCTTCCGTCGTGCGTAGGTGAATCAATTTATGAAAGTTATGCGCCAACCAAAATAGTATATAATCGCTGTCCAAGATAATGAATGTAGATTGCATGGTATATTCAAGCAACCCAGTCTAGCAGCCCAAACCCAACAAGTTGCCTGAACCCTTTGCCTGCAGCCTACTAAGAGCAATCTCCTCATCATCCAAGCCATCGAGATTCTTCCGTTGCCAAAACGCGCGAAATCCATCTACCAACCTCCGAGTAATGCCCAACACATCCTCCGCAGGCATCGCCGCAAAGCACAACCTGTAATATGTCTGCGCCCGGTCCAGAAGCTCCGTTGTAGGAGCAAACATGGTTCCGGGACCCGAAAGGCACAAATACGGCTTTTGCATCAAATGCAGCCACAAAGCTTGGATCAGCTTCTCCGGGCCATACTTCTCAAGCAAGGGGTGCGTCTCGATGCAAACCTTGACCCACACAAACATACCGCCGGTGGGCCAGGAGAACTCGTACATCTGCATCTTATCCAGGACTTCCCAGGCGGTCTCATCCTCTGCCATGGGTTGTGCATCGTCCCATGCGCTACCGGAGTCAATGAGGTACTTGCCCTCTTCGAGAATTGTACACATTGTCGTCATGCGTTGTTCGTATCCCGCACGGAGGCCTTCCAACCAGCGAACCCAGCCGTCCATCTGCCAGGCTTGTTCGCTCTTTTTAGATTTATTCTTACTTGCACCTGTGGCATTCTGGCCATCCTCGGATTGCTGACCCACAATCAGTTCGGCCACCATGGCCTGTACAAAACCTGATGGCTGCTGAGTTGATGTCTCGGTGAGACGAGTCAGGCGTTCAATTATAGCTGGCTGAGCGGTAATCCATCCTAAGCGACAACCAGGAGCTATGGTCTTCGAGAAGGTGTCAAGACGCACGACACGCCCGTCTGTATCAACGGAGAGATACGATGGCACCAAGGAATCCAGAAAATCGTACCCGGAGGACCTGCCGTGGGCGTTGTAGTTGCGTGGAATTACATCTACGGCATCTGATCCTCGAAATCCGGCCTCCATAGCAGTTGCAGAAGGATACTGTAAGTTCCAGTACGGATCGTCTTCTATGATGATGATGTCGAATTGTCGACAGAGAGCGTAGATCTCCCTCCTGCGCTCGACCGACAAGGTCCCGCCCGTCGGGTTTTGGCCGATACTGCAACCAGATAAGGCAACATTAGCCAACATGCCAGCAAAGTGTTGCTACAGAGGTTTGAACTTACGTAATTGTGTACATCAGATGCGGGAGACGGCCCTTCTTGAAATCCCAGTTCTCAAGCACGTCGGCCAATCCTCCTTTACCATGCGCAAGCATACCCTGCGCATCTATGGCTACTGGAACGATGTTAAGGCCCCGCGGTTTCACGGTTTGGATTGCGTTCATGTACACAAATTCCTCGCATAGTATGCCCTCACGTTGACTGATCCAATCCCGACGAGGGTCCCACGGGTTAGTAAAGGTTTCAATGGCCTTGGAAAACCCGTCGGTGGCACCGCACGTGAGAAGGGTGCCAGGGCCGCCGGCATAGGGGACATTCGGGTGGAGGTGATTGCGAGTGAACTGCCGGACGAAATCGGCCATAACGGGGAGGCCTTCAGCTGTTCCATACTGGAGGGCTGTGGTAAGATCAATTTTCTTCAGGAGATTGGTAGTCGGGCTTTCTTTCGGGACGATTCTGCGCTCCGTTGAAGGGGAGCCACTGGGGGGCTTGATCTGGTCATTGTCGGAGGTGGCGGGGAAACGCTGAGGATGAGCAACGGTAGCTTCGAGGGTATCATAGGGGAAGTATGACGCATTTGGCAGGCCTGATGTCGCAAGAGGTTAACAAAGTGGCACAAGTGCAACCGCCGTGTTATGCCCGAAGCAAGAGCCAGGAAGTTAGCAAGCAGGAGAGAAAACGCACCACCAGCCAAGTTCGCAATGCCTGGGATGAAAAAGTACTTATACAGGCTCTTTGTTTCGCTCGCCTCCCGTCTCTTCGTGACCGAGGAGAAGTGATGTGACAGGTCCAGGGGAGGAGACAGCGTTGAGTAAACCATGATTATGGTGGTTAGGCGATAGCAGTTCACCCAAGACAGCCCTCCGGGTGATACTGGGTTTGCCGTGGGAATTAATGTGGGAGGCGTTGCATGAATCGTCGCGAAGAGGATGATGAACTGGCGGCGACCCCGATATAAGCAAGCTGGGGGTGGTTATCTTGGTGCTTGATAAGCAGAACCAGCCCGGGTTGGGGGATGGTTTACTCCACCTGGTGAACCGGCGATTGGACATGCGGCCGCGATAGGCTATAGCACAACAGACGCGATGGCTAGTGGCTGTCATTAAACGGGGGATCACGATTCCTCCTTCCGGGGAGGAATTAGCGGCTGCACAGTCTGGCTCCTGGATCCTTATCCGACGAATCCGAAGACCCAGCGCGTGCCAGAGTTGCTCGGGCACGGCTGGCTATCAAGCCCAGTGCTGTCCATTTCGTGCTTTTCCTGTTGCTGGCTCCATGGACAGGTTCCTCGCTGAACTCTAAAACAGCTATCACAATGGGTACACCAAGTAATACACTTTCTCATGCACAAGTAATGGGCGAGTCTGTAACTGTCAGCCGAAAGAGATGCCCGTCAGTGGGAAAGCTAATCGATACTAGAATAGGGAGTAGTGCGTCCCACTTTTGGTCCCCGTCAGAAAACGGCTTCCGTTTCCAGAATTTCTTGCCATACCGCTTTTGCCTCGAGTCTTGTGTGGGGCTGCGACAGCAAAAACCAACATTGATATACAGAAAGCCACATACTTCAGGTGACAGCTGGATCTTCAAACACTTTATAGTAACTGTTTGTATGTCACGTTATTGGACATCGGCAAAATAAGCACAAAGAGCCAAGCCAAACGAAAGCAATGACAGGAACCTATTTTCGCAACCGTTCAACTTGGAGAAATCGACTATGATTGATACTTAGCACTTGTGGATTGGATGACATTAGAGTATAAAAAAAATTATATATATATATATTACTATGCAATTTGATTTTGGATATGCATATCAAACCCAATCTCAAGTCTCTTGTGTCCTATTTGGTATGGACTTGTGGTACTCCGCCTACTTATTGCCAGGCCGTCGGTCGGCTCTTGCTTTTGCGATCGGCCAACGACTTTCTCTGTACTGCGCCTTTCGGTTACGCTAGACATAGTATGAACAGACAATGTGCATGGGCGCGCACTATGAAGGATCACTTAGTTCTAACATCTATATTATCTACCGCATCTTACATAACCGTCCGATATCCCATATTCCTAATGCTCTGTAGGTATTGAGCATGCTCGTGCTAGTTCATTGATGCTGAATCTTTATGGCTCACCGTATAGAGCAATGACCTGAAGTCTGTTATGCTGCGGCAGACTTGCTCCTTCGGCGAATAGCATGTCCGAATCTATAGAAGATGTATGGGACCGGCGTCATCAGTAGGGAGATACATCCCAGCAGGGTAAGCGACCAATGAACACCCAGGTTAGTGTACATTGGAATGGACACAATAACCATAGCTCCTGCGGCAATATATCGCATGAATGTCGCACTCACAAGAGCACTAGCAGCAAATATCTCATACGTATCGATCAAATACTGATAGCTGCTTATGAAAATGCCCTGCACCGAGAACCCGAACGCCACAGATGCAATTAGAGGTGACCAGTACGAGACGGACGGATAACTGGTCCACCCCATCCAGAAAAGAGATATCGGAAGCCACGGTGCGCCATACATGGCGAACCAGAGTCGCTCTTCGGGTGGTAGACTGGGTTTGCCGCTAGCGATGGCTGTCTGGAGTCGTCTCTTATAAGATAGGTAGACATGCGGAACAATGGCGAGTGCAATCAAAAATCCCACATTCATTCCAATATATGTCAGTCCCACTGAGCCCTGTGAAAAACCATATGTGCGACCGTATATGAACTCGTAACCCGTTAGAAAGCCGAAAAGCACGATGTATACGACCACCAAGTACATCGTAAAAAGAGCTACCATAATCTCCTGGAAGAATAGCTTGAAGGGGCGCGAGCAGCTATGCATTAATCGGATGGGTAGGGTGGTTTGGCGCAATTCGATCTCGGCCATGAAACGAGGGTCGCCGGTGATGGTGCGTAGTTGGCGAGCCTTCCACTGCAGAAGTACTGGCCCGTAGGTCTCGGGTACAAAGAAGAAGATAGAGGCCGTAATAAGCCCAGCAAGTATCAGAGATGTCCACTCTGACCAACGCCAGGATATGACAGAGCTTTGGCCAATGAACGCACCGACCATTGGGGCGAGAAAAGGCCCCAAGAAAGACAACGCACAGCACACCGGAAAGGCATATGTACGATCTAGAAGGTCGAAGATGTCCGACATACTCCCACCGAATGTAGTCAGCGGCGTGCATCCGAATAGCCCAGCAATAAAACGGAATGCCAACTGGGCGCCTAGATTTGGAGATAGACCGGAGGCCATGATGAAAATCATAAGAAGTGACAAGGTCACTAGGTAGACGGGGTTGCGTCCCACAGTTTCCGAGAAAGGTGCTGCCACAAGAGATCCAAATCCGAATGCAACTAGATAAAGCGCAGTGGCAAGAGACTCAGTCACTTCACTGACCCCGAACGCCTCTTCTCCCTGTTTGATGACTCCAGAATCGATCGAGGAAGCCCACCCCACAAGAAAGCCCGTTGTGCCAACAATACCTAACGTCGTCCATTTCTGTCTCACAGGCCAGTTCTTCGGGTTGAATGGGTCGCCTGGACCATCGAATCCCACTATGAAGATAGCCTCCCCGTTGGTGAATTCAACATCGGTTGCAGAATGAACGCTAACGCCTGGCACAGTCACTCTTCGCCCGTTCTGCAGCACCACCCCAGGCATTCCTTGCGATGAGATGGAGTTACGAGAAGAGGAAGGGACAGCAGCGCTTGGACGGTTCGCTAAATGTTGCCTGTCGAGCCGAGCGTCTTCATAGTCTTCAAGGATGTCACCAGATGGTTGTGAATTAGGATCTCCAGCGGCAGCGGGGCCGTGTATCTTGATACTTTCGTGTAGGTGTCTGCGCAGACGTCGATACTGAAGGAAGGACTGCATATTGAAGGCAAGAGGAATTGAAAGATCAGTCCAGAGCATGCATGTTGAACTGGACAGCTAGAGTTGATCATATTGCAGATATACCATGCGTATAGCAGTATCCGCTTTATCCGCTCTTCCGCACCACCCGCCTTTTCCACTCCCGCTTTGCAACGTAGCGATAATCTTCATCCGAAAGCATAGTGAAGTGTTTGCATGTGGGTAGCCAGATCAACGCATGGGTAATAATGTCCTGCTAGTAATTGTTGGACCTTGTAAGCGGGAGTACTGTGGTTATCTCCCTAGCATGACGGTCACAACGACCGTTACCCATACCTCATCTGCCCGCCATGCCCCCTGTCGTCAAAGAGTGGTATTTCGGCATCGAAAAAGGCGTTCCAATCCCAGTCTATCATTTCTAGATTGTTTCCATCGAATAAGCCTCCTTGCAATGGCGAACCGTACTCTTGCGTAGATGATAAGTTTCGTTCAAACGGTCCTGAGTCCTGATCCTGGATGCTATCCCTTAGAAGATTAATTTCCCGCTCTTTCTTCCTTTGTAACAGCTTGATTAAGGAATCGACGGTCTCTATAGCGATGTGGACAGTAGGCGTATTAAAGTGGCTCCCAATAGTCTTGAATGAGCGCATGGCGTGGCCCACGTGTGACAATGACTCCTTAGAATCTATTGCGAGCAAGATGCAGAGAAACTGAAAGGGAACATTGGCAACATGCCACCAAGGACTGCGATTCTCAGACATACGGACCGCAGCAGCAGTACCGTCACTGCCCATTCGAATGACGCAGTTTATGACATCGTTTGAAATACTGGAAGCAGCCACACGGAGACGACGGTATATCGTAAGTGCTAGATTAGCTTGGGACAGAACCAAGGCATCGTGGCTAAGAGTTAGACTTTGGACGTGATATAATACATCTTCAAGGTCTGAAGGTCTATTGTTCTGATCGGGATCCAGCCGCTGAGAAATCTGGAACAATGAGACCAGTTCCGCAGTCAAATCTCCCGCTCGTGGCACAGGTGGCTTGCAGGAAATGCCTCGTAAGATGACGCGAGACCTGCCATATTCATACGAGATCCACGTATTTAGAACCGTCGCAACCCAAAATAGCCTGCGCTGACTTTCTTCATCGACACCAACATCCGCCGTGTCAGAATACACCAGAGAGATCATCCCTGGATCCTGATGTGCCCCTGCTGCTTCGATGATGTGCATTGCAGAGCAGCTGGCCATCCATGAGGTATGAGGACAGCCGGTGCTTCGCAGGTAGAGGGTACGTAAGACCCATCCAGTAGCATGGTGTATGAGTGGTTTATTCATAGTACAGGTTGCTTCCAAGATTTCCTTTGCGCACTGGACCAGCGCTTCTTCGTTCCTATGTCCATTATCGCCTGAGTAAAGCGATCCCAAGGCCGCAACACCGCAAAGAACTGGATCATAGCTGTCAAAAGTGATAGAATTATCCCAGCGCAGTCCGACCTTTTTCTCTAGCATATCAAGATCGAGAACAGCATATATGGGGTGTATACGTTCTAGATAATGGCCAACAAGAGCACTCATCTCATCTTTAGAGACTAGGCTCGAGATGTTAGCGAATTGTTGTATGGGCTCATGTCGAAGCCCTAGGTTCCAGCTGAAGCCGTGCACCTTTGGAGGGTTCTGCGGGTTCAAGCTCTTTCCCAAAAAGTGAGGGAATGCCGTGCCTGAGTTCGCCTCCATCTGCTGTTGATTGACATCAGCCCTTGCCGCAAGTGCTGGAGAGGATGCCCTTTCAAGGGGCTTGGTCGAAGGCCTTGCAATGCTTGGCCTTGATGGCTTCTTCCGTGGTTGAGCCTCGTACGCGCAGTCATATTCGTATTTGAGGCAGAATGAGCATGGCTCATGACCGTCACATTTCCGCTTACGCAACTTGCAGGTTTCACACGCCTTTTTCGTCCTTCGACGTATACTTCCAATGGGTGGTCGACTGGAGCGATCCAGAGCAGAGGACATGATGTCAAATTAGGTGGATGGAAAAGTAATGGCGGTGAAACGGATGGATGTTGTTACTGTTATCGTGAGACAATCCGGAAGGTGCAGCCCTTCAGCATCGGCGTTCGGAAAGGCAGGTACCCGACACGCCCGCTTTAGCTTCAACGTAGCACACTCATTTCACCCCCCTTTCATTATCACACCACAACAGTTTCCAAATCAATCAATCAACGCTAGCTTAACTTTAATTGAGTATCCTTTTGTTTTGTGAGCGCTCCATCCCTAGTTGACCCATGCTGATAGGAATGGCTGAAATGATAGACCGAGGCGGACAGAATGCCATCTGGCATCCTGGCATTGCATACAGGCAGACCTTGATTTTCCAACCAGTAATAATATTTGATGAGATTGACCTTGCATCGTCTGCGACAGGCTCATTACAAATTGAACGAAGCGGAAGCCTTGGTAGTTGCTATATACAGTCGATCTCTGGCTACCGAATTAATAAACAGCCGGAAAGCAAGTAGTTAATCAAGGTTCACACTAAGTGGTGCAAATGCTTCGTGTACAAATTAGTTGATACCCTAATGGCTGATATTCAATGGCTCTAATCTGAATGTTAATATGTAACGTAATATTTCATTTACTAGGGTCAGTCCAGTTCCGAATCCATCTGCTCTCTCTGCAAATCAATGACTAATGACTACAGTTGGGTGCAATCACAAACCAGTGGGTTTTCTGAACAGCTTTACCTGCAGGAACAGCAAGGATAAGGCTATCCTACATGTTTGCTATCAAGAAACGGAAGCTTACAGGGTCACAGGGATCTCAGGCTATTGAGAGCGACCAGGAAGTGACAGCTTGAACCTGTAAAATGACGAACTGGCAGTGAAAATAAATGTCGATCATTTACACCCTGACGTCCGCCTCACTCTTGAGATTAGACATCGAAGGCAAGGGCACAGGAGCATAGCCGCCGAGACGTGCCGAGCATACTGGACTTTCAAGAAGCGGACACACTACAATCAGGGAGAGCCCAGCAAGACGAGACTTTTACTAGAGGTCGTCTTGCCACGCAGCTCTACAGACAAACCCATATGCCTAGCGTATGTCGCACAAGCTTGATGCATAGTCTATGACTTATTTTAGCGATTATGCCTATCGGAGCAAGGCGGATACATGCACTATATTAGTGGCTATCCATGGAATATTCCAGCCACGCAGTCACAGGAACGATCGATCAAACATTTCTCCACCGCGTTATACTGTTATCCCTAGCCGACGAGCCTACGATTGAATGTTACACGCCAAATAATGACCGGATAAATATTTGACGATGGACATTGGTTTATTGACCCGTCCGACCGCTAGGGATAGTGGGTTGTGGAGCCAACGTGAGAGATTATGTATGCCAAGGGAGATCATTGCCGGATAGGAGGGAAGATCGTGCTGGGAAACATCAACTGGTTCATAGTCAGTAACTAAGTGTATCCTTGAATAGAAACTTAGTAAGTGGGATAATCGAATTGGACAGAACGTCACGCCGAAAGAGTATACCAACAATTCCCGCAACCCGTCATTTGACCACCTCTGAAGATGATGTCCATGTACATACCTTCACGCACACCACGACGCGCCCTCTCCCAACACAAAATGCCATATCACCCACTGCATGCTCAAGGAATAACCATTGAACATCATTGGACACAATTCTAACTTCTGACAGAAAGCCACCCCTGACTGATGATCTCCACTTGATCCTCCGCAGATCACTCCCCAATAGTTCCAGAACCATTTACCCTTCCCCACCCCCAGCACGCGCGTAACCATCTTGCCATGCTTCCTCCTCCTCCTCCTACCTACTCCGGATAACCTGGTTTGGTCTGGACCAGGATATGACTATAATTCTTATCCGCTTCACGTGAATTGCGCCTCAGAGAAGCATATAAATGCCCCCCTACCAACCTACCTTCTTGTCCCATCCATCACACTCATCTCTACCAGAAGTCCCAACTACTCTACTCAATAACACCAATTCTCCAAGCAAACCAAACCACAAACCACCACAATGAAGTTCTCCATCTTCGCTACTCTCGCCTTCCTCGGCATTGCTCTTGCCTCTCCCGCCGCTAACACCGCTACTTCTACTGTATGTTATTACCTGTGTTCTTTAACTTGATATCTGCCTGATACCTATACTCGCTGTGACTGAGTGCTAACGAGAGAATCCTAAAGCTTCCCTCCGGCGCCACCTGCAACAAGGACGGAAGCATGGGCAACTGTGCCAGTGGACTTTGCATTGTGAGTTTCCCTTCTCCACTCTCATACTTTGGTCTCTCGGGCATCTGGATAGAGCTAACGGGATGATTGCGTGTTATAGCAAGAGGAGAATGCCAGCACTGGAACTTGCCAGTAAATAAGCTGCTGGGTTGCTTGAGTTGGGGATGATTGCTACTACCTGTCCATAGGTGGATGTACATATTACTGTAATATTGGGGAGTATTGAATTGAATAAAGACTCTTGACGAGGACTATAATCGATACAATAAACCTCTTACTCACTTACACATGTAGAACAGACCTTCCAGAGATAGATGACTTATTTCCCACCACACAAGATTCACTTCCTAGCCCTCCCATCCCTCTCCTCCC